GCGTGGCATGGAGGCAATCAGCCTGTGGCACTGCTGAGGTGTTATGGAGGCCCAGGATGCTTCGATAGCGGCCTTAAGCTCATCCAGAGTGTTGGGTCTTGCGTCTCTCAACTTTCTCTTCACAATATCCCACAGGTTCTCTATGGGGTTCAGGTCAGGAGAGTTGGCAGGCCAATTGAGCACAGTAATACCATGGTCGGTAAACCATTTACCAGTGGTTTTGGCACTGTGAGCAGGTGCCAGGTCGTGCTGAAAAATGAAATCTTCATTTCCATAAAGCTTTTCAGCAGATGGAAGCATGAAGTGCTCCAAAATCTCCTGATAGCTAGCTGCATTGACCCTGCCCTTGATAAAACACAGTGGACCAACACCAGCAGCTGACATGACACCCCAGTGACTGTGGAAACTTGACACTGGACCTCAAGCAATGTGAATTCTGTGTCTCCTCTCTTCCTCCAGACTCTGGGACCTTGATTTCCAAAGGAAATGCAAAATTTACTGTAATCAGAGAACATAACTTTGGACCACTCAGCAGCAGTCCCAGGCGAGATGCTTCTGACACAGTCTCTTGTTCAAGAGTGGCTTGACCTGGGGAATGCGGCACCTGTAGCCCATTTCCTGCACACGCCTGTGCACGGTGGCTCTGGATGTTTCTACTCCAGACTCAGTCCACTGCTTCCGCAGGTCCCCCAAGGTCTGGAATCGGCCCTTCTCCACAATCCTCCTCGATGTCCGGTCACCTCTTCTCGTTGTGCAGCGTTTTCTGCCACACTTTTCCCTTCCCACAGACTTCCCACTGAGGTGCCTTGATACAGCACTCTGGGAACAGCCTATTGTTCAGCAATTTCTTTCTGTGTCATATCCTCTTGCTTGAGGGTGTCAATGATGGCCTTCTGGACAGCAGTCAGGTCGACAGTCTTACCCATGATTGCGGTTTTGAGTAATGAACAAGGTTGGGAGTTTTTAAAAGCCTCAGGAATCTTTTGCAGGTGTTTGGAGTTACGTCGTTGATTCAGATGGTTAGGTTAATAGCTTGTTTAGAGAACCTTTTCATGATATGCTAATTTTTTGGGACAGGCATTTTGGGTTTTCATGAGCTGTATGCCATAATCATCAGTATTAAAACAATTAAAGACCTGAAATATACCCCTCACTCACTGCTCTTTGAATTGAGACAGCTCCTCGGATGAGAAGTGAAACTTCTTCTGTTACAAATAAAGCCCAGTTGTTTTTGTATTGAACGTTTTTTTTTTATTATTTATCATGTCCTGGATGACTGAGAATCTTCACCAGCATCAAGTCCTGTGTTCAACACTCGGAGGATGGTCCATGCCTGCCCCCTACTGGCCAAAGTCTACAATAACATCTGTGCAAGTGATTCCATCTATTGTTTTTCTTTAGGGATCCTCTGCGGCACCTTAGCAGCAAAAAAGAAGAAGAAGATGATGTATTTAACAGCCAAGAACGCAGGTCAGAACATTCCCTTTGTCCTTGATTCTGAGCTGGATTTTTTTTTCTATTGCTGATTTTAAAATGTGTTTAAACAGAGTTTGACAGACACGAGTTACAGATATACGAAGAAGTGGCCAAAGTCCCTCCATTCCAGAGGAAGACACTAGTTCTGATCGGCGCTCAGGGGGTGGGTCGACGCAGCCTAAAGAACCGGCTGATGGTCCTCCATCCCACACGCTTCGGCACCACAATACCATGTACCCCATGCTTGATTTTATCATTATTTTCCTTAACTTTTCTCACAACCCAGCATTAACAGAAGTCTTGTTTTTGTTTTTTCTTAGATACCTCCCGGAGGCCCCGTGATGAAGAGTTGATTGGAAACTCCTACCACTTTACCTCAAGGACAGAGATGGAGGCGGATGTAAAGGCCGGACGCTTCCTGGAACACGGCGAGTACGACGGCAACCTGTACGGCACAAAGATCGACTCCATCCACGAGGTGGTGGCTGCAGGGCGTACCTGTATCCTGGACGTCAACCCACAGGTACGCTGCGCCTTAAAAAAAAGCTTTAAAAGGCAGGAAATTCTTAACATGGTTACAGAATCCCCATGTTTTGGCTGCAATGTTGCCTTTTGTCACTCCCCAGGCCTTGAAGGTACTGAAAACAGCAGAGTTCATGCCCTACGTGGTGTTCATTGCAGCGCCAGATTTTGATACGCTCAAGGCCATGCACCAAGCTGTGGTGGATGCAGGCCTCACAACTAAACAACTCACAGTGAGTGCACCGTGCACAACAATATGCTCTGCCCTTTGGTTTATACTTGCTGCAAACTGTAAAATCACATTGATGAGTCATCCAACCATCATGTTTCTAGTCCAGTCCAAGTCATTTAATGTCTATTATACATGTATTTTGAAACTGCAAGAGTTTCTTTTTAGGGACACAAAGTGTAACTTCATTTAATTATATCTACAGGTGCTGGTCATAAAATTAGAATATCATGAAAAGTTGATTTATTTCAGTAATTCCATTCAAAAAGTGAAACTTGTGTATATTATATTCATTCATTACACACAGACTGATATATTTCAAATGTTTATTTATTTTAAAGTTGATGATTATAACTGACAACTAATGCCCCTTCACTGTCCAGTTTTAAAACTCTTTTAAAAACACATTTTTACTCACTGGCTTTTAGCACACACTGAATTTTGCTCTGCACTGTTTTTATTATTTTTTATTGATCTTAATGTTTTAACAACTGTTATGTGTTTAAATGTTCTTGATTTTATATGTACAGCACTTTGTGGCAGCTGTGGTTGTTTTAAAGGGCTTTATAAATAAAGTTATTATTATTAAAACTCCAGATTCAGTATCAGAAAATTGGAATATTGTGAAAAGGTTCAATATTGAAGACACCTGGTGCCACACTCTAATCAGCTAATTAACTCAAAACACCTGCAAATGCCTTTAAATGGTCTCTCAGTCTAGTTCTGTAGGCTACACAATCATGGGGAAGACTGCTGACTTCAGTTGTCCAAAAGACGACCATGGACACCTTGCACAAGGAGGGCAAGACACAAAAGATCATTGCTAAAGAGGCTGGCTGTTCACAGAGCTCTGTGTCCAAGCACATTAATAGAGAGGCAAAGGGAAGGAAAAGATGTGGTAGAAAAAAGTGTACAAGCAATAGGGATAACCACGCCCTGAAGAGGATTGTGAAACAAAACCCATTCCAAAATGTGGGGGAGATTCACAAAGAGTGGACTGCAGCTGGAGTCAGTGCTTCAAGAACCACCACGCTCAAACGTATGCAAGACAAGGGTTTCAGCTGTCACATTCCTTGTGTCAAGCCACTCTTGAACAAGAGACGGCGTCAGAAGTGTCTCGAGACAAAAAGGACTGGACTGCTGTTGAGTGGTCCAAAGTTATGTTCTCTGATTAAAGTAAATTTTGAATTTTCTTTGGAAATCAATGTCCCAGAGTCTGGAGGAAGAGATGAGAGGCACATAATCCATGTTGCTTGAGGTCCAGTGTCAAGTTTCCACAGTCAGTGATGGTTTGGGGTGCCATGTCATCTGCTGGTGTTGGACCACTGTGTTTTCTGAGGTCCAAGGGCAATGCAGCCGTCTAACAGGAAGTTTTAGAGACTTCATGCTTCCTGCTGCTGACCAACTTTATGGAGATGCATGTTTCATTTTCCAACAGAACTTGGCACCTGCACACAGTGCCAAAGCTACCAGTGCCTGGTTTAAGGACCATGGTATCCCTGTTCTTAATTGGCCAGCAAACTCGCCTGACCTTAACCCCATAGAAAATCTATGGAGTATTGTGAAGAGGAAGATGTGATACACCAAAGTCAACAATTCAGAAGAGCTGAAGGCCACTATCAGAGCAACCTGGGCTCTTATAACACCTGAGCAGTGTCACAGACTGGGCGACTCTATGCCACGCTGCATTGATGCAGTAATTCAGGCAAAAGGAGCAACAACTAAGTACTGAGTGCTGTACATGCTCATACTTTTCATGTTCATACTTTTCATTTGGCCAACATTTCTAAAAATCTTATTTTTTAATTGGTCTTAAGTAATATTCTAATTTTCTGATACTGAATCTGGTTTTCATTAGTTGTCAGTTATAATCATCAACATCAAAAGAAATAAACATTTGAAATATATCAGTCTGTGTGTAATGATGGAATATAATATACAAGTTTAACTTTTGAATGGAATTACTGAAATCAACTTTTTTTGTGATATTCTGTGATATTGATTGTGATATTAAACTGAAAATGGCACACAGACTAATTGTAAAAAAAAGTAACTGAAAGAAAAAGCTAGGTTTGAAATCATTTAAAATTAAACTTCTCTGAAGGAATGGCTGCTATGCAGGCCACTCTTTTAAAAAAGACATCACATAATCTGTAAGTGCTTGGAGTGTGTGTTTGGAGTGACTCTCAGCTACCACACCAAATTTTACAATGTCAGTAAAATTGGCTGTCATAACAGTTTTTGTGTTTGATAAAGTTAGTTAGCTGTGGCAGCCATCTTTGATCAAGCTGAGTCCAAGTTGCCCAGTTTCAAATGCAAATCTAATTGTTTCAAGAAAATCCATCTACTTCACATGATATTTTGCTAACAGACACAGTGAGAGAGACATGCAGTAACATTAACCCCCACCTTTTTTATTTGGTAGCAAGATGCTAAAAACCTGAATACCTTCAAAAAGTACAATTTTCAAAACAAAAGGACCCAACATGTACAATAAATCAACACAATGTGTTTTATGTTTCATGTTTTTTATTATTCTAAACATCCATGTGGGGTTTGATTCGCTTTACGTCTCATTTGTGTTTCAACTGTTATCTCATGTGCAGCAGTGTTTCTGACCCGTTTTCTCGTGTTCTTTCAGGATGTGGACCTGAGGAAGACTGTTGACGAGAGCGCCCGCATCCAGAGGGCGTACAGCCACTACTTCGACATGACCATTGTCAACGACAACCTGGATAAAGCCTTTGAGACGCTACAGGCTGCCGTGGACACGCTGTGCACAGAACCACAGTGGGTCCCTGTGAACTGGGTGTACTGAGGACCAGCACCAGTGCTTCCACCACGCTCAGCGTTTCTGACAAAAAGGACAACGGGGAGGAAGTGCTAGTGAAAACGAAGATATTTATTGAAATCTGATCACTCGTTCCCTCCTTAGACCTGCTCACTGCAACTCCTTTTCTACTGGAAACTCAAAGGGAAAGAGTGCTTATTTATTTTATACTTTTTTTTTATGAAAGATCTTTCTATTCAGTAATTTTAGTGAGAATGAAATGAAACTTGGACCTAATTTTTCTATTATGTTTAATTTATTGTTCTAGTTCCATTCTTTGATTTCGTTGAGGATCTTTTTGTCCTTGATTGTTCCTTGATGAGCAGGATTCACGTTTGCTACCAAAGCTAATTATAAGATGAAGGAAAGGCGAAGGAGCCTACATGATTTCTACAACTGAACCCTTGTAGCTGTTTTCACCGCGTGTTTGCTGAATTCTGTACTTTTTCTGTAGCTGGCCATAAACTTTTCAAACTACGTCTTCCAGTGGATCAGCCGGGCAGAACAAGGTGGTTTAAAGTCTTTTTTTTTTTTTTTTTTACAAACATCAAACCTTTAATTTTGTCTAGCATTTTCATTTTTGAAGTCCGTGTTGTGATCTATAGTGTATTGTTTGATCACATGATCCGGAGCTTTATTTCTTTACTTCCTCTTTGTCAGGTCATCTTCGTTGTAATTGTCCGTGTCCTTGATGACGTCTTCACAATTTTGTTGACATGAAATTTTTGTGATTGTGACGCAAACCCCGTGTCCCTGTTTAACCGTGGCACAGTATGCTAAAGTCCGCAGCAAGCTTCAAAAATAAAGTTTCAGACTGAGAAGTTACTTCATGAACATTCTCTGCCATGCAACATTTCATAATCCTGAGGTCGGTCTGTTCATCAACCCCATGTCTTTGTTTTTACATTTTTATGAAGAAATGTAATTAAAGATGAGAAAATGCCACTAAATACAGCTCTTTATAAATATTGTGTGCAGCATGTTGAAGTGATCATTTAGATCTTTTAAAGTGCTGTTGCTTTTAGCTTTGATCAATCTCTGTGTGTCAGGATAGTTTAATTCTAACTGGTCTATGAGCTAAAATGACTTCAGATGGTAAAGTAGCGATGGGTCCAACAACATGGATGTGTCTGTGCGTGTATCTAAGAAAAATCCTGTTACTGATACAGCTGCTGTCTTGTCTGTCAGCAAGGCACCAAACTTTGTTCATCAAGAAGAAGAACTTGCGACACAAATCTACAGGTGCTGGACATAAAATTAGAATATCATGAAAAGTTGATTTATTTCAGTAATTCCATTCAAAAAATGAAACTTGTATATTATATTAAATCATTACACACAGACTGATATATTTCTAATGTTTATTTCTTTTAATGCTAGACTTAATCCCATAGATTTTCATGGAATGGTAAATGGACTGTACTTATACTGTATAGCGCCTTTCTATCTGATCAAGATACTCAAAGCGCTTTACACTACAATCTGTGTCCTCATTTACCCATTCATACAGCACTCTACTAGATCTTTACAAAGCTAATTGAACAAATCGTTCTAAAGAGACTAATCAGTGATTTTTCACAATCATACACCGATGGGACACACATCGGAGGCAACAAGGGGTTCAGTGTCTTGCCCAGGGACACTTTGGCATGTGACTGCTGTGGGGTTCGAACCCCCAACTCTTGCAGTGGAGGACGACTGCTCTAACCACTCAGCCACAGCTGCCCAAATAAATGTAAATAACAGAACCTCCCAACTCCCCCTGGTGATCTAATATAAAAACATTCCCAATTAACCAACAAATTAATTCACCCATGAAAATCACCACCACCCTGTAACTTAACATCAATTTAGATTGAAAAGTGTCATAAGTTCACCCCCTGGAAAATCTATATTATAAAACCTCATATGTATTTATCAAAATTCTCTGGTCTCTTCTCCATGGCCGTCAGCTGTAAAAATTTGTTATTTCATAGAAAACGTTGTCAAAAATTAAGTTTATCATCGCAATTGCACCATCTAGTGGCGTTATTTTCATCATGACCAGCCCCTAAAATTTGCAAAAACATTAAAATTTCATTTTTACCCATGTCTTCACACAAAAAATTGTCATTGAATAAACAAATCATCAAGTAATAATTAAAAGGTAATATTTGGCTAAGTACCATGCATAAGTATATTGTCCAACCATGTTAATTTTAAGGAAAAAAACATCATAACGCTCCAGAATACTGTTAATAAACTGTAAACGTTAATATTAAACCTATCCCATAATTAGTCAGTCCATCAATCATCTCATCTCTCAAAGTAGTTGGAGAAGACCTGTCACCAATTAATGCTGAGTTCAACATTCAAATTAACCATAATTCTAAAGTACACATCTGTACTTAAATGTTAAAAAATTACCCAGAACTTAGCTTCACATTATCTGTTAGATTTCCTTAATAATCATCAGTGTTTGGCATCCTCCCCATTGGGTTGTAGCACACTACTAGGAGGGGCCACTTAGTTATAACATCTTGAAGTTTACTCTAAAAAATCCTTTAAGTTTCAAATAAAAATGGTAAGTTCTCTCCTCCCACATTCAACTAATCAGTTTTGGAATTAATTAACAGATAGGAAATTTGTAACTCTACTTTCAAAATATTGCTTTATATCCATAATAGCAGTTGTTCTAATTTATCTTTCAAAAATCCCCAAGATTTAGCTTTAGATATAATCACATCAATAATTGATTAGTTGCCAAAGGCTAGAGATGAAAAACTCAATTATACATTTAATAATATTAATACAATGTTTCTTGGAGGAGTGAGTGAAAGTGAGGTAATCGAAGTAGTTAAAAAATTAAAAAATAAGAAATCCAAAGACTGTAATTATATTGATATGGCTATTGTGAAAGAAGTCATTTATAGTATTATTAAACCTATCACCTATATCTGTAATAGATCATTCTTAACTGGAGAATTTCCTGATAAAATGAAAGTAGCCAAGGTGTTTCCAGTCCACAAAAATGGTAATAAGCAAAATGTAACAAATTATAGACCTATTTCATTGCTACCACAGTTTTCTAAAATCCTGGAAAAAATATTCATAAAAAGGCTGGACTCCTTTCTTAATAAAAACAATATATTAAATGAACACCAGTACGGCTTCAGAAACAACTACTCCACAACTTTAGCTGTGATGGAGTTTGTGGAACACGTTGCTGCAGCAGTTGATCGGAAACTTAATACAGTGGGAGTGTTCATTGATTTAAGTAAGGCGTTTGACACTATTGACCATGAACGACTACTGTGGAAATGTGAACAATATGGCTTACGGGGGGTTACACATCAGTGGTTAAAGAGTTACTTGAGTAATAGATTACAATATGTACAAATTAACAATACAAAGTCACAAACTGAAACTATAAAATGTGGTCTTCCTCAAGGCTCGGTTCTAGGACCTAAATTATTTATACTTTATGTGAACGATATTTTTACAGTATCCAATATTTTGAAATTTATAATGTTTGCTGATGATACAAATTTTTTTCTTTCTGGAAAGAATATGGATGAACTAATACAAATAGTAGAAAAAGAGCTAGCTGAGTTAAAAAAGTGGTTTGATTACAATAAGTTATCATTAAATGGACAAAAAACAAAATTTATGGTATTTTCTGGTAATCGGATTTACAATAATGTAAAGTTACATCTAAATGGAGTTGAAATCGACAGCGTTTATGAGACAAAGTTTTTAGGTATCATTCTGGATAACAAACTTAGTTGGAAGCCTCATATTGAATATATTAGAAATAAAGTTTCAAAAACTGTTGGAATATTGTTTAAAATAAAAGATTTAATAAATGTAAAAGGCTTGCATATTATATACTCTTCTTTGGTTATGCCCTATTTGTCATACTGTGCAGAAATATGGGGAAATGCTAATAAAACAACTATTGACATATTAGTAAAGTTACAAAAAAAAGCAATTAGGCTTATTAATAAAGTGGGATATTGTGAACCAACTAATAAACTTTTTATTCAAAGTAACACCTTAAAAGTTAATGACATTGTTTATATAAAAATACTGGAAATAATGTATAAAGCAGTGAATAAAAGTCTTCCTTCTGGAATTCAGAAATTATTTAAGTTAAGGGAGAGTAATTATAATTTACGAGGTTTATTAATATTTGAACAAGCTAAAGAGAAAAGTAAAGTAAAATCTAGATGCATTTCAGTTGTCGGTGTGAAATTGTGGAATGAATTGAATGATGAACTCAAATTATGTGCTTTTTTGTTGAGCTTTAAAAGGTCCATAAAAGGTAAAATTATAAAAGCTTATACTGTTATGTAGATGTATATATGTAGTGTTTAACAATGTATGTATGTAATGTAAGTATGCTTATACATATACACAGACATATTTTTATATAGATATGTGTATATGTAATGTATGTATATATATGGACAGTAGATATATTTTATTATTGAAGACTGCTGAGTCTATGAACAGGGTAGGCAAGTATAAGCCTTGGCTTCAGCCTATTCCTTTTTTGGTAAATTATTGATTTGTCAAAAAGTAGTCTATATTGTTTTCCTTTTTCTGTAATGCTAATTTACCAAAATAAAGTTGAGTTGAGTTGAGAGTTGAGCATTGTAAGTGTAGATGAACATATGCTGATATATATTCATAAATTAAACGGATTCT